ATGGGGTTTGCTATGTGGCAGGCACTGTGCTAATTATATTAAATACATTTTTCTCATTTAGTTTTGCTGAAGTGGGTACTTTTATTATCTCCATTTCATAGATTAATAAATCTAGGTATAGCAAAGTTAAATAATGCATCAAAGTCTTACTGTAGATAGATATTAACAAGGATTTAAATGATTTATTGTTTCATTACTTTCTTAAAACATTGACTTCCTTTTTTGATTTGAACAGGTTTTAGAGAAAGTTTCTGAAACTTTTGGATACAGACATTTAGAAGACTTCATGGCTTCTCACTTGGATTATCTGGTTTTAGAATGGCTTAATCTTCAATACAGCTTATCTTCTTTTCCTTTTATTTTGTTAAACTACACAAACATCGAGGATTTCTATAGGTAGGTTTATGTGTGGCATATATGAAATATATTTAATTTAAAATTAGATATAGGAGATGGGGGTATAGGTCAGTGGTAGAGTGCAGGCTTAGCGTGAGTGAGGTCTCAGGCCCCCCCACCCCCAAAAAAAGAGCAAATAAATAAATAAATAAAATCAGTTATTAATGATAATGTGAAAGTCAGGACAGCTTTTTTTTTTTGTTGAAAGTGTACTGAAGGTCGTCAGTGGACTTAGGATCTGGTCCTGCCTGTGCCAATAACCAGCTACATGATGTTTGGGAAGCCACATATGCAGCCTCTGGGACTTGGTGTTTTAATCTGTAAAGTAAGGGAGTTACACATGGAGATCTTTCAGGTCCCTTTCAGCTTTAATATTTAGTAATCTTCTCTATGAAATATCAATGGTAAATTTTTAGTGGCTGACTCTTTTTACCTTTTCTATTGCTTGACTGTGGGCCATTTAGTCATTATTTCTGTTTAATTGAAAAGTTAAGTTTACAAATATTTATTTTGCTAACTCTAAGTCTAGAGAAGAAAATTTTGAAAATGAAGAGGTTTGAAACAACTAAAGAATAACGTTTAAGTATCAGGATGACGGGAAGGCAATTCATAATTGTTTAGTGGTCTTTATTATTCATTTGGCAGTAATATTTACAGTTATTTGAATTTACAAATTGTTTTTGTATTTCACTTTACAATAATTTTACATAAGTTGATTATGCAGAAGAAATAAATATAAATTCAATTCTCACTTGTTTTTGATCATAGAACTGGTCTTAGATCTTAGAGTATACTCTAAGACCTCTGTTCTCTAGTGTGACTATTTAGAATTCACTTAACTTCATTTCTCCATTTATACAATTAGAGTAAGAATGCTTAATGATCTAGATGAAGTGATGTTCTAATGCTTATTAAAACATTTTATTATTTTAAGGACTATATTATAAAATTTTACTTGAAAAGTTACATGTAATGTACCTGTTTAATTTTAATTTTTATATTTTTAGGTCTTGTTATAAAGTTTTGATTCCACATCTGGTGATTAGAAGTCATTTTGATGAGGTGAAGTCCATTGCTAATCAGATTCAAGAGGATTGGAAACATCTTCTGACAGATTGCTTTCCAAAGATTCTTGTAAATATTCTTCCGTACTTCGCTTATGAGGGTACCGGAGACAGTGGGATGGCGCAGCAAAGAGAGACTGCTACCAAAGTCTATGATATGCTTAAAGATGAAAACTTATTAGGAAAACAGGTATGTCTTCAATGTTTACCGTACTTTTTACCCCTTAATTGATCTGAGGTATAACTAAAACTTTAAGGCTATTTATGCATCATTTATTAAATTTAATACTGTTTAAATAATCACTGTCTAGCATAGGTTATCCATGTATTTTTTGGTTATTGTTATACAATGTTCTCTCCTTTTGACTGACTTTTAAATGAAATGTTTTAATCAGAAATTTAAAAAAGAACTTTGGAATAGTTATATCAATTTTTCCTTTTTGAAATTTTCTTTAATTGGCAGTAATACTCAAATGCAAACTGGTTATTAAATTCAAGCACTATTGAACAAAGTATACAAAATCTTCTTAATTTCCTTTTTTTTTTAATTGAAGTAC